GAGGGATTGGAACCGACTCTCTTGAAGCCCTTTAAAAAATCCCAAGCACCTTTGGTATGCCAAAGTCGTGAAGGCTCTGCCGTCCGGACCTCAAGTTGACGCCGGAACGCCCCTCGCTTTGCTTTGATGGATCATGGCGGTATGATGTATACGGTTCATTGACACGAACACAAGCAGTTGTAGAAGATGCAAGAACAATAATCGCAATAGCAGCAGCAATAGTAGCAATTATGAGAATAGTAGTAGATATGCCTCCGGAGAAGAAACCTGAAAGAAAGCCTTTGACCTGTCAGCCAGCTCGCTCCAGACACAACTCCAGTAGAAGTAACTTTATGTAATTTTGGGGTGTCCGAATTTATACCATAAGTATCCCCCGCACAGTCCGTACACACGTATACTGTACTCCCTCTCCTCCCCCTGCAACAGAAAGCTCTCCAATTCCTAATCACTCTATGTAACCTTGAAGGCCTCTGTCTTGCCTAGCAAGGCTTGACCCGAGACACAACGATTATGACGCTTCTTGTGCCACTCGGCCACAGCGAGAGCCATTCGCTGACCGGGGGAAGAGATGTCTCTCATCTGACAGGCGGCTTCTGGACATAGCAACACTCGGCATTTCAACTCCTGGCGCAGACCGATCATTGCTTTCATTCTCTGGCTTGTGGTCGAGATGGGGGATCCTACTGTTTGGGTCTTATATGGATTTACATTGGTGTCCTCTAATTCATTTGCTGAAACTCCCATATCTTGCAACATCTGCAATTCTCAACTTCTTACCAGCGCCTACTCGTACGCCTATGCAGTAGGAGTGCAACATTGCCCGTGTGTGAAGGTTTGTTTCCAGCATCGGGCTGCCTCGGGAGTTCCTTCCGTCACTCACCATGGCGCGCGTGATGGTCAGCAGTTTTGCTACCGATGCCCCACTTTCGAACAAGGTTGGGTGCTCAGCGGCTCAGCATATCTTTTCATGACATAGCATCACGGTCCGGGCAGACTTTCAGAGTGCACTAGGTACAAGCAGTTCCTTCGCGTCAGCACCGAGTTTATGCGAAGCTGATGTCAACTTGCCCTGGGAGGTGAATCTCGCCTTGACTCCGCTCTACATACTCTCACACTGGTATCAAAACTGGACGGCGACTTCTGGCGACCAGCAACCTGGTCTAAAGCCCGAGCCACTGGCAGGAATGCCGATGCGGACACTGTTATGCTATATGGGTTCATGTCCCATCACTTCGCACTGCATGAGATAATACTGTTGATGGACAAAATTCTGCATGACCCAAATATAGTGTAGTACCACAAATCCCATAGTTTAGGTATATAAAGTCATGCAGGATGTTGGCCATCAGCCGTAGTAATCTTCTATACTATATGTTTGGTTACATTCGTTTTTGTCATCAGCCAAGGCTCATCTTCACCATCTGCTCTGAGGGCATCATCTTGTCCTTCTTGTCACTGGCCATTACGAACTTAGACGTCAAGGACGGGAGCTTTCAATTACAGCCAGCCGGCTGCAGAAGTCCTTGCCTTGCAGGAGTATCAGTTGGAGGCTGCTGCCATCGAGTTGGAGGAGAAAGTCCAGCAGGTGCAGGAGGCAGAAGCCCGGAAGCACCCCTGTAAGTCTCTCCATGTGAGCATCGTTTTGGCTTGCCTGTGTTGATGATGAACCTGCTATCTGCAGAATAACCCCCAGCAGGGTAGCAGAAGCACAGGAAGCCGAAGAGCCCCACTACATGTCCAAGAAGCGATCACATGTTCAACGTGGATCCCCAGATGACGAGATGAGAATTGCTACTGCTACTGGGAGGGCATTTCCCTCTCAGGGCATAAAGCTCTTCCAAAGCTACAACAGCCGAACCCTGAGCCGCTGTGGCAGTATCGAGCAGAGAATCGTCTGCCAACTAATTATCTTCTATCTTGAGTTCACACATGCTATAAATGCATGTATGTGTACATACATACATATATGTTTACACCTGTCTGAATTTAGCTAATCTAGCTGCATCTAGCTAGCTAGCTAGTTAGCTTGTCTGTCTGTCTGTCTGTCTACCTACCGACCGACCGACCTACCCCTTACGTTACCTTACCTACCTACCTATTTGTTTATTTCCTTATCTATCTATTTATCTTTCTATCTGTCTATCTGTCTATCTGTCTATCTGTCTATCTATCTATCTATCTGTCTATCCATCTATCTATGTAAGAATTTTTCTGGTCTATCCAGTCTATCTACCTGTCGATCTGTCCACTTATATAGACAGACAGCCACATGGGACAATGCGCGTATGTGGTGAACCGTCAAAAACCCTAAACCCAAAACCTCTAAACCTCTATAAACCCTAAACCCTAACAGTAATACTGATAATTATTCAGGCTCCTTTTTTTTGTATACCGAGGAGCGAGCTGGAGGGGCTGCACAGCGCCTTCTCAGCGTGACTTGCGATGCCTTCGTCAGGCGCGGGATCTAGTTCCTGCATCGGGAAGCCCCTAAACCCTAAACCCCTAAAGCCTCTCCTATGTAGATGACTCAGAATTGCAGTGTATTGCAGGATGTCGGGCTGAGCAGGAAGGGCGAAACTCAATTAGCCCCTTCTATTAGTCGGGTTGTCGTTGTCGCAGCTCTTCTTTCAGTTTCACAGCGCCGACTTAAGAACAAATGCCTCGCCTGGATTGTCAGAGTGTGAGCGCCGAAAACCAAGACCCACTCAAAAGGGTCAGGGCTAACAGTAATAATATGCAATAATCAGAATATCATAGCGAAATCGCTATGTTCTGCGTCGCGGCTGACAGGCAACTGAGTCCGTGTGAGAGAGAGAGAATCAGAATATCATAATAATGAAAATACTAATTGCACAAATAGTAACAATAATTAGACGGCCGCGCCGCTGACAGACCTCTGAGTCCGCGAGAGAGAGAGAGAGAGAGTAACAATAATAAGCTAACATCTAAGCACAGGCTGGCGCCGGATCTTTCGATCTTCGAGCCTTCCCGGAGCTTGTCCGATCTGCTGATGTGCGACTCCACTGATGTTTGGGTGTTTAAGGGTTTAGGGTTCAGGGGTTTAGGGCATTAGGGTCATGAGTACTGTCTTGTGGGTCAAGCTGGGCAGTAAGGGCAGCAGCCGAGTCCCTTGTGAAAAAGGGCATTAGGGTTTAGGGTTCGTGCCTTTAGAGGGGGTGCGGGTTGCGTAGGCGCTGGCCGGCACCTCAGTCCGTGCTGGAAAGAGGGTTTAGGGTTCTGAATTTTAGAGGTTCGGGGGTTGAAGTGAAGGGTTTCGGCTGGGGTTCGGAAAGATACGGTATGCAGAAGGATCTACCGATCCAACCTGGCGACCACATCCAGCTTAACCTGCCTACCCTACACCCTAGACTCTATGCGGAGCCTTGCCGGCCGTGTGCGAGTGTGAGAGTCGAAACCCTAGGCTTTCTAGCGGGCATCGTCGTACCATCCTCTTCTGTCTGGTACTTAGTAGGGAATGGGGGAATGGATCCCTATGACAGCCCCTTAAGGTCCCTCACAGTAGTCCCTATAATCCATTGCCCCATTCCCTACTAAGCACCAGACAGTCTTTCAGACGCTTCCCCTCGAAACCTGAGCCGCATGCCGAAATGCAGTTGACGTTTTCGAGACTGCTCTGGTTTGAAGCTCGGAGCCTGCGTCGGCCTTGGAGCTTGGGTTAGGGTTTAGGGTGTAGGGTGCAGGGGGTAGGGGGTAGGGTTTAGGGTTTAGGGTTTAGGTTGAGCTATGACATCCTGGTGTGAATGGATGGTTGACCGGGCAAGCTTCAATCAACAAATGAGGGCCAGGAATCACACTAAACCCTAAATCCCTGTCGTGATCACGTGTTTTTTTCGAGTGTGAGAACCGAGACCCGGTGGGCGTCCTTTGCTGCGAAAGAACTGAAGCCTTGAGACCGGATGGCTGCAAGGTTTATGAAGCGGACGAAAAAGCAACTATTACTGGTATTGTTATTTTTTATGATTATTTGCCATATTCCTACTATTATTGTTATTGTTATGATTATTGTCCTTATTCTTGTTCGTATTAAAGGACCTGGGACGTTCGAAGTTCATGCGGCTTCAGGCCAGGAAGGTTCAAGAATCTTCGGGTTCCTAAAGGCTCTTGCAGTCCCCGGCCCGTAGCTTGGCGTCAAGAGTGGTTCGAGCTGAAGCAGTGCGAGGTTCGGTAGTTACCCTAAACCCTAAACCCTGCAACCTCGGACACTTATCGCCATGCCTGCTTTGCGAGTGTGTGAGTCGAAACCCTAAACCCTAGCTTTCGTGGACTCTGAGGCGGATTCGGTTCGAGCATAGCTTCGAATCTTGGCAGGGAAAGCTGTGCTCCGAAGGTTTGAGCAGAAGAGGAGTACGGTCATATCGGTTGATGCATGGCGAGCTAAAGCATAGCACGACATCCTATCCTGATCGGTGGTGAACGATGTGGGATCTTAGCTTCTCGACGTGGTGGTGCTTTGTGTAGTTTCGGGTAGCAGAAGGAACACAACGGGGAGGGCAGCATGGAGAGCATGAGAGTTCATTGTTGCCAAGATAGCTTAACATCCTCTCAACACTGCTAGTAATTAAGAAATTGCTGAATGGCTTATGATGGGGACGCCGGTTCTGTCTTCATTATGTCTTGATCACGCGTGTTAGTGAATCTGGGCCATCATCACCACAGGAACCCGTTGGATGGCGTCCCGATCATTCGGTACATCAATGAAGCGGACGCTGGGTGGGCTCGGGCGAAGGTGTTCTGTCAGGGTTGTATCTCTTGCGGCTGCAGCCCAGACAGATGTTTCATTTTCGGCTTCGCAGGATCATCAGCGGTTCACGGACTTTATCAAGGAATCGTCCAATGAAACGACGCTTGCCATGCAGATGTCTTGTTCCACAAGTTAGCATGAAACGCCGGTGGTCCTAGTTCACATCCGTTCGGCTTTCAGGGTGCCATTTGCTATGTTTGTAGCTAGCGATTCGGGACGTGCATGTCGGGGCAGCGAGAGGTATGGACTCTCACGTGCAGCGCACACGTGCACTCAGTCACTCTCTCTCCCTCCCTCGCTCTGTCTCTTTCTCTCGCTCGCTCTCTCTCTCTCTCTCTATCTCTCTCTCTCTGGACCGGCAGCAAAACTCGGCCAGATGATTTTGAGCTCATCAGACGAGCAACATCCTAACTTTCACAAGCCGTGGGCGGCGCTTTGGTTATTTAACAGCATGTACCAAACCATATGGTTGTTGTCCATTCCACCTGAACGCTAATGTCGTTGCTTGCTTCTTTGCTCGAGACTCTCGACTCTACGAATGACGGCGGTCTCAGGCTTACGTGCTTTTCGCTTTGAAGACATGTCCTTGCCCCTTTGCCAGGAACCCTGCCAGATCTTTGCATGTGGGGATGAAGGACATCATGGATTCTGTTGCCTAGGGCAGCCGCGAGTGAGTCTACCCATACCAAGACTTCGGGAAGGACTCTGGGGGTGTCGTCTTCAACGTCGAGCTGTTCCACGTCACGGTTCCTGGTCTCAGGACTCTGCCCAGGCAATTCGAGCCTGAGGCCTGAGGCAAGCAGATTCGAGCTGCCGAAGTTGCGCACAGTCTCACTCGGCAGGACTGAGGAACACACGCACTTGATCGGAATCACGCAGGAGCATGGCCGTGTTCATGGTAGGCAGCTGCAGAAATGCGAGACTGCTGCTTCTGTGTGCAGGAGTCATGCACAGACAGGCTTGAGCGCTGCGAGGCACTGGATGCCCAGCAGTGCCATGCAGAACATGCAGTGCCGACCGTAATGTTTTCCAACCGCGCCGGGGCCGTTGCATGTTGCTGCGCCGGGGCCGTTGCATGTTGCTGCAGGTTAAGGCAAAGGAGACTAGAAACAAAGCCTCCGTGTCAAGTTGCACAGGCCTCCGAATTCGATCGCGGCCTGGAAAGGCTGGATACGACATCCATTCCCTTGCAGGCCAGCAAGCCGGATACGCCACAGCAGGAGAGAGAGGGTTGTCATGACACTCGCCGGCAGCCTTTCACTGCATCTCCCAGACTCACCCAGCACTCGCAAGAGTCGATGTGACTCATCCTGATGTTCCGTGGTGAGCCGTTCAAAACTTCTGGAAGGTGGTGTGTCCGAGTTTCAGGGTGCAGGTTAGGGCTAGGGTTCACACGAGAGGTTCGAGCTTGGGTTGACGAGTTGTGCGTCTCGCTGGGTTCCTGGTAGCGCAACTCATTCCGGGCCCCGTAGTCCTGTATTGCCGTCGTCGAAACCCTGCCGGCAGTCCGGTGGGCGGGAAAGAACGGAAAAGCAGTGAAGGATTGAGCCAACTTTTGTACAGGGCCTCACGGCAAATCGTGGGCAACTAGGCATCAGCTCCCGGAAGAGTCGAGCGCGCAACTGCGAGCGCCGACAGCACAGGAATGTCCACAAATTACGGATGAAGTCCTTGCGTTCCCCCTCCTGCCCCCCGATAGGCCGGTCTTGACGATATGCGACACATCCTTGGGTGGCCCGGAGCAAGGGAAAGGCAGGTGTTGGGGGCTTTGGAAAGTTTGGGATGTTAAGGTGTCGAGCCCCCGATTTTTAGATGGGAAGCTCCCTTCAGCCCTGGAAAGTATCACCCCCTAAACGCTAAACCCTAAACCCTAAACCCTAAACCCTAAAAGTATCACCAAGCCCATACACTGGTGCACATTCTGAGGTACAAACTCCAGAATGGGTGCAGGAGCGTTCCAAGCAGACAGTCCCGGTCTTCGGGAAGCCACAGCAGTGGTCGTCGCCTGGCAACTCACTCTTTGCCGGCCTTCTGCCGATGTTAGGTTCATATCTAGTATGGTGGAATAGTAGAAGTAGGTAGGCGATGATTCTGGTAGTATTGGGAGCGGTTAGTCTGCAGAGGCTACCAGAAGGGACTTGACCTGGAAAGAGAACGGTAAACATGTATCAGAATTTATCATGTATCAACAACTCGCAACGTAAAATCGGGAACCGGAGTTCGATGGTGCAGAGAGCATGTGGGCGATGTTCAGATATACGTCGTACAACTTGACTCAAGAGATGTGTAGTGTTTGGGTCGTATTCCTGTGGCCCCAAACGCCCGAAACCTGCCTTGCCCTTGTCACTATACAGGCACAGACAATCTGACGCGGCTGCGAAACCTGGAGAAAGTCAGCATCGTCGTTGATGTAGAGACACTTGGTCGTAGAGTGACATGTTCGGGTGGACCCTGCCTGACGTGGAATCAATCCTGGGGCTCGTCTATGACATTTTTTGTGAGTTTTGGGGCGACATTCTGGGTTTTTTTTTGTTCTCGGAATTGGGGGGAGGGAGGGACCGGAAGTTGTGATGGAAGAAGTGTTGTTGTTCTTCTTGTAAGTTATCGTTCTTGTTCTCCTTGTTGTTGTTGTCGTTGAGCAGAAGCAGTATTGTAGCAGTATTGTAGCAGTAGCAGCAACACTAGCAGCAACAGCAGCAGTAGCAGCAGCAGTAGTAGTAGTAGTAGTAGTAGTAGCAGTAGTCGCAGTAGTCGCAGCAAAAGCAGGAGTAGTAGTAGTGGCAGCAGCGGGAGTAGTAGTAGTCGTCGTCGTCGTCGTCGTCGTCGTCGTTGTGATGGAAGCAGTAGAAGCACTAGTAGTAGCAGTAGCAGCAGCAGCAGCAGGAGGAGTAGTAGTAGTAAGGTAAGTAGTAAGTACCAGCAGAAGTAGTGGCAGCAGCCGATCAGTAGGAGTCGGAGCAGCAGTCAAAGCAGTAGTTGCAGTTGTAGTACTCGTCGTCGTCGTCGTCGCGGCTTCGAGAAGACAGTGCCACACAACTCAGACATACATGTATGCTTGTAACTATCTGTATACACGCGGATCATTACACATAAGGACTGGTAGATGCGTAGAAATCGTCATCGTCGTATCGCTGGGAAGGATAGAGCGTTGCGAGGGACTACCGTGCTGCATGACTTTATCTCGTATCCTGTCCGTCTTCTTTGATATTTGTGTGGCTGCTGTCATGATGATTGCACTCAGTAATCGTTGTTCCGGTCATGCTTTATAACTACGTACGCCCTACGCCATCCCACCCAGCCATCCCAGGACCCTGACTGAAGACTTCCTAATTCGTTCGATGAAGATGTCTCCTGGCAGCACACTTTTTGTCGGGCTTGGGCTCATGATCTGCTCAGAGGCAAGCTGTGCTTCGGCTCATTGAACCGGATATGGGTAGTTCTCTAAAGTTTAGGGTCCTTTTTATAAGGGTGCCGTACTATATTGGTGACCAAACCAGGGACCCTAATTTAGAGACTTACCCATATGAAAAGACGTGCCCTCAATCTGCGCCGCGACCCAGCAGCCCCTTCAATGCTCAAGGACTTTTGCAAAACCGCACCCGCAAGCCACGGGTGTGCCGAATCTGCTGGAGTGGATCAAGCCGTCGTACAGGCAGGGCACCGGAACCCGCAGTGTTCAGACGGGGGTTTCCGAAAATAGGGGGTACCTTATTTTGGGGGTCCTTATAATAGGGATCCTACTATTTGGGGTACAATATTAGGGTCCCCTATTTTTGGGAACCCCCAGACAGCTCTCAGTTACAACCAGCTCTGGCGACAGAAAGTGACTTCAACGGAAGCCTAAAGCCTTGCAGTTCAGTAGGATATCTACTGAGAAACAGAAGCAGGTCACTTTCTTCTAATCATAGGAGAAGCTGAGGGTTTTGGACCGGAAAGCCTGGCCCGGGCATGAGGTCCAATATCTTCAACTACATTCAGGATCATGCCAATGCCCGCTACAGCGGGCGCGAGTGCGCAGAGACATGTCTGACCACGTGTTTTTGTTTTAATTGTTGTTTTATTCGGCAAGATTTATTTGTTATCTGTGACTGTTGCTAATACCATGATACATATATATATATATACTTCGTTTTATCGAGCTGGCAGTTTCGGGGTCAACTTTATTGCTCGCAGTGTAGTCGTCGTGTTGCAGGTTTGTCAGTAGCATGTTCACCTTGGAGGCCCGCCCCCCACAAATTGTTTAAAGTCCGACAGACGGAGTGCCAAATGACTGAAATAGCTCCAGTACAAGAGGGATGTGCTAAATTGGAAACCACGGATGCAGTGAGTAGTGTGCTCGGCTTGTCTATGGTTGTCTTCTGTGCTTCAGACATGTCCAGTGCAGTTGCTAGCATCCCATATGTTTCTTGCTGACTTGCTAATCCCGGTGTTCGTTGGACTGGATTCCTCAACGGCAACTGGGCACCGTGCACTCGCACGCATCCATGGCAAGCACCTGAGGAGCGACCACTTCGGGGAATCAAGATGTATTCGCCGATGGCATCTGCCAATACTCTTCTAGCCGCTTGCTGCATGCTTGAGCCTGAAATCCGAAATCGCAGCTGCTTTGTGGTGTTCGACATCAGCAGCTCATCCCTAGAAGCCTCTGCACCCCAAGACGAAGTCTAGAACGATCTCCGCGGCCTATAAAGACCCGCCATACAAAGCTCGCGCTCTGATCCTTGATGAATCACAGGCCGCTCCACCCGAAAAGGAGTTCTGACAGTTGTCTACGGCTGACTCTACTCTTTCGCCGTCAAACCACATCATGTATCAAGGCCCTGACCTTGCAGCACTGATGGCAAGAACAAGAACCACAAACCCCGAACTTCAATCCGAACCCTCTTCCTGAACTTCAATCCTTATCGCAATGCTGTTTGAGGTGGGTGAGGTGCGGATGGAAAGCTTCCTGGAAGCCTGGCAATCAGTGGCTACTTTAACGTCGTCATAGTAAGAAACACCCAGCATCAGTAACATGAGAGCGCAGTATCCATAATGATAGTGTCGACTGCCCTTTTCCTCCCATTGCTGCCACTGCTGCTGCTGCTGCTGCTGCTGCTGCTGCTGCTGCTGCTACGACTGCAACGACTTTGACTACTACTGCTACTACTAC